TTCCCAGTGGGTTTGCAGTCCAATTTATAGAGAAATAAGTTTGAGAATGAGCCACGTTCTGTACTTTAGTATTATCCATATAGTTCTCACTCAAGGGGAGAGGCAATTAAGTTCCTGACTTCAGTTCCTGACTTGACTGTGCTCTATAAAATACTGCATCAAAAAAATCCCCCATCACTCAAGTTGGGGTGAGGGGGGGAGGAAGGGTTGGTAAAGCAAAGAAAGTAACTTAAACATTCCCTGTTGAGTTTCCCTATAGCAAGTTTAGACAACACCAAATACCTTGTTAAAGCTGTGAGGGAGGGAACACTGCAGGAAGGAGAGGATGCTGCTTGAAAGTGGTTTTTGACATAATACACAGGTTTCTGAGATGGAATTCAGCTGGAAGTTTAAAAGTAGAAGCTAAAGTGAAGAGCCTTTGGGACCATCCTGGATTTAATGTGCAAAAGCCCCTTCCAGTCCCTGGGGAAACATTTCTCCTCTTTCTGGAATAAATGAATCAGAGGAAAAACAAAATAAAACAAGTCTTCAACCTCCCCCCCCCCCCAAAAAAAAAAAAAAACCTTTGCAGTATACAAAATCATGGTTACTACACACAGAACTTTTTGGTTCTACAGTGCGTAGTATGATGAGGAATGCTACATCAAAGCAACCTCAGGGCTATTTTACCTCTTTCTCTTTAGGGTATGTTAGAAGACTTAAATCAATCACTTGTATTCTCAGCAGACTCTTAATACAAGATGGAGTTTCTTCAAGAAATTGAGACGTTGCATTAGCTATATGGTAAAATGACATGCTTTCAGAACACCTTTCTAGAATAACCACTTGGCTTAGCTGATTGCCAAAGATTCACAGAGCACACACATCTTGAAGTGAGACACGGCTTCTCATGACATCTTGTGGTAGTGTGACAAGCTGACAGGGTTTCTGTTCTGTTTTCACAAAAAACAATCAAAGTTCTTGCAAAACGGTGATATTATAGAGAATCAAACACGCACTGAAAAGCACAAGTTTGTAATCAAATTGCAGTGAACAGACTAGCAACTTTTTTCTACTTAAAAGCAGAAACATTGTCCATCAAGAAAATATATAAGCATATAAGTATACATATACTGACACAAAGCATAAAGCAATTGGAGCATTATTTTAGACTAATCAAAGCCAGAAAACTGACACAAGTTCATCTTGTTGCAGTTCAAACTGCAAGTGAACTACACCTTTAAGATAGCATGAACTTGTAGTACCTAACACACTCTTACCTACACGGATAAAAGTGAAACAGCGTCTGCTAAAATCGTCTCCTCCTGCAGCTTCTTCCATGTAAGTCAATGGAAAAGTTCACCTTGGAGAGAGGAATTTTAGCTACTGAATACTAAAAAAATTTTGCAAAAAAAGAGATTCAAGGAATTTAAAAATGGAGCATTATATTTTGAAAAGAACAAAAGATGGATTTTAGACCCACACACCCCTCTATAAATTAAAGTCCTGCTCCTACTCCCAACTAGAAAATCAGTATCTCCTTAGATTGGTGCTGCAGGGAAAGATGGAGGGAAAGACGTCATTGTCCAGAAACTTTATTACAAGCAGACTCAATTAGGCTAATTTATGTTGAGAATTATGATGCATGTAATCAGAGAAATACCAAAATAGTAGATTTTATTCCCCATTTGTTTTCAAATGAACTCTTCTGAGAAAGAAAAAAGTCTTTTAATCATAGCTGAAATAACACAAACTGTGGTTCAATATCAACCTTATTTAAAAAAAAAAAAAAAAGAAAAAGAAAAACTCCACCACCACCAATGCAAAACAGAGATGGCACTAATTAAAATAGATACAACTAAAAAGACTAAAGATCTGGTCTTATATATGGACTCATACTCATCCTCGAGACTATGAAGAAAGGTGGTTTTCCCAGTCATTCACTCAGTAATGCTTACCCCAAACACAGTCTGTTTTTGACTGAAAATATTTCAATTTCTCTCTGTGCAGCTTGGCTTCTGACATCCTGACTCAACCCCATACACAACCTCCGGGACAGGGTTAGATTTTCATACCAGAGTAGAAGCAACTGACTTTGTCTAGACCTTCTTCGAGGAGAACAGAATAAAATGCATTCAGTAAAGAGCACTGGAGAGCAAAGAGAAAGCTGTTGGGAGGCCATGAAACTTTCAGCCAGAACTAATGCTCTTAAACACTCAAGAAAGGTTTTTCAAAAGCATCTGTGTCTGTTGTAGGACCCTGAAAGCAAAAAATCCTAAAGCAGAAATAACTCATATTTGACCTTTAAATGTGCAAACATCTACATGTCATTCAGGCTGTGTGCTCTTAGGTTACTGTTTCGGCCAAATTTAGCCACAGCATAAAGGAGTGATAAACAACCAAGACCCTTCAATCTGCAGAGGGATTCACGTGAGAAGCCATTCTAGGGAGTGCTGCTTCGTTAGACCCTCTACACAGCAGGTCTGGGATGACCTTGCCACAAAAATATGAGCAAGCTTAATGTATCCTGATTAAATCCTGGACAGCCCGGAACTCCAAGCTGCTTGCCTTCTCGCCACTCCCATAGCCCTCTTTGAAGGCTGATGCTGCATCCAGTTTCCCGCTCCAGCACCCTTCTAGCCCTTCCTCCCGTCTGAAAGGCATCTGTCCAGAGAACCTGCACTCTCCCACGCACTCTGACTTAACTCTGGAGCACAAGTCATCCCCTGTGTCCTGACCACCATCAAGGCTCTCCCTCCACGTAGGCCACCTATGAGATCTATTCCAACCTGCCAAAAGCACATGACATTCACCCACGTGGATGGCAATATGACATGAGGAAAAAACAATGGTTTTCACATTATTTCTCTGAATGGACTTGGTCCTCCTTCCTGCTGTTGCAGGATGGAAAAGCAGGAAAGCACCTCAGCACAGTCTCAGCAGTGATGGATACACAACACATTCCGTCAGCTCAGAAGACGGTTATTACTCCTCTGGGGATTTGAATAGCAACCCTTCACCTCAGCCCTCTTCCCCCAAAACTAAACTAGTCTCAAATTCACAAGGATACTGAAAGTTTAGAAGATCCTTTTCAGCCTTGAGATAGCTGCCAACCCTTCAAAAAAATGCTAGTCCATCCCTGCTGTTCCAACACCCAGAAAAAAGAGAAAGTACTTCCTGCCTCTTTGGTAAGCAGGAACCAGTACACCCTCATACCCCTGTTCCTTTCCCAGATTGTCACCCCAATCTGATGCTGTCTGATGCACTCACATTTTGACCTCAGCTCTGGTCTTCAATCCCCGATGCTTCCTTCCTCTTAACACACCAAGTCATGACTGCTCTACATACCTGCACGGCAACGTAATTCCTTGCATGTCTTCCTTGGGAAAGGCTCATAGTATTGCTCAGTCTCTGCTGAGCCCCAAAAGATCCACCATGAGCCAGGACTGAGTCTGGGAAGGCAAAAATCCTTAACCAGGCAGCATCACAAACACATGCTGCAGCAGGAAAGAGCTAGGATGCAAACGTAACAGGTACAAACATAGCGGAAGCCACCTTCCACAGTTTTAAGAGGCTGGAAATAAATCAGAAGGGAATCCAAAGACACCTCAATCCATCTAACAGCTGGCTTCTGTAAGAAAGGCAGTTACTCAGTCCTATCCATTCTTCTCCTTTGCATTCCAGGCAGCATGGACCAGCTGTCGTTTGGGGGTATTAGATGATATACAGAGATTAAGGAGGAAGGAGACCTCAGAGCATCTACCTCTTTCCAGATGTAGTGCCTCTGACTTTATGAAACAGTCATTATACATTTTTCCATCTATATTATATAGAGCACCCATGTGGTAGGCTAAGAGATGTCAGACTCTTAGCTAGTTCAGAGGTTGCTTGTCAAGCATACTATTTGAATTTTCTGCTAACAATTACTGAATATATCTAACAGTAATCTTTAATTATATAATTACATACCAGTACCTATCCTGCTGGGGCAATCTCCAGGAACTTCCCCCCTTAGGTTAATCTGTCTCAGATACCGTTACAGAATAATAAACGCGAAGAGGAACGCGGCTTTTTGATGCCTACAGAGGTTTCCTTCGAGACTTACCCCTGGTGTCTGGTTTGCTAGTCTGCAAATTTATACTGAGCTTATTGTTACAATACTAACAGATGAGAGCATTCTTCTCAAGGGACTTACCTCACATTGCTAGTCACCACATTTAACGTTTATTTACCACTAATGATAGCATCACCCAGAACCGAACTGATGTGTATCAGCTCCTGCCTGACCATCTGCTTTATTCAACAAAGGTCACATATTTTAAAAGGAGGTCATTTCGCAAAGGTAATATTGCTCTTTTGCACTGTCTACGGTGCTTGGCTAATCACTCAGGAGGAAGGTTCATTTTCTGTTGTCCTTTAAGCTAGTTCCATGACTTGATCTCAAAAGAGTGTGGCACCAGTAAGTCACCTAATTTCGACAATTCTAGGGATGTGCACATAAATAGAATTTCCTTACTGTTAAAATCAGTTCTAATGACAGTCAGCTTGTCTTTGCTAAGTATGCTATGGGCAAGCAACAAAAAAACGAGTGACCTGTGTGGCTGCTCTTCAGGGGAAACCTTACTATCAACTCCATTACTTGCAAGACATTATTTAATTTGAGGATGACTCCCTTGAAGCACTTACAATGAAAAATAACTTTAAAATTCATTTTCATAACGAAGCACACCTTGAAAACTACTTGTCACACACCAAGGACTTTTACATCCACTTAAATACTAGTAACTAATTTAACTTCTGTTCTGTAATCCAAGAGTAACAGAAGGAAGAGCATTACGCAAACACCTTTCAGCATCTGGTCAAGAACTGAACAACGCTGAATACCTGGTCAAAGC